TATATATTAGAGAAAATAATTAGAAGGCTATTTTGTTATCATTCTAGAATATTATAATATCACTAGAAGTTGTTCTCCATAGTAGATCTCTACAAATACTACAGTACATCTTTCAAAGCCTTTTCTTTTGGAGTTCTGGTTTTACCATGTGGTCTTGAACTTTTGATCCTCTAGCCTTAGCTTTTTGAGTAGCTAATATAGGCACATTCCATCATGCCCGGCTCATCCATTTAACTCATACCTTGTATTGTTTAAAAACTTAACTATGGTATTTATAAGGCAAAATAATAAATGAAGTTTACATATTGGAAATTAAGTAGTGTGACTGTAGTTATACAGTAACACCTTGGTTCCTGAATGCTTTTGCTTGCAAACAGTTTAGTTCTCAAAAGTGTTCAACAGAATTTTGCCTCCATTCACAAACTCCCCATCAGATGACAAACAACCATGGCTATCTTTCCCACATAAACACAAATGTAGCCCTCTTCCCCAGAATCATAAAACAAATTAAGTTTGTTAGCTGAGGTACCATTGTACCTAGAAAACTTTGAATGATATAAAATACAAAATTTTAAGTAATTTTAATACAGTAGAATTGTGTGAAAATACAGATTTGACAGATTTATGTTTCAATAATAGTAAATAATACATTGTCCAAAGTAGAAAACTGTGCGACAAATAAATGTATAAAAGATGTATGAAAGTGACACCGCACCTGCCTCTCAAGTGCAGGGTCTTGAGTTTGATCCCAGGTACCAAAAAATAAAAATAGAGATGTATGAAATACCTAAGAAATGTATATGACCTGGGTGTGGATTTAGGTGGTATTCCCCCACTCCTCCCGCCCCTGCACTGGGGATTGAACCCAGGACCTTGCACTTGCAAGGCAGGCATGGTGCTACCGAGCCACATCCCCAGCCCTTAGGTGGTACTTTTGACTATAGAGTTTGTCAAATTGATCTCAGTAAGGCACAGCTGCTGTGTAAGTACAAAAATGAGAGAGCAGTAGTCGCCTGTGCAGTGGAGGACCCAGTTGGAAAATGATGGGAGGGAACTTTCTAGGATAATTAAATACTGTATCTTGAGTGGAGTGTTGTTTAAAAGTGTATAGACATTGTTAACTATTTACTGAACTATTAATAAGATCTGAGACTTTTAGTTGTATATAATTACAACTCATGTTGGAAAATGAAAGAGAGGAAACTTAATTCTAAAATGCACCTTGCAAGAACAGGAAAATACAAACCATGAAAACATTTTGGAACAGAAAGAGGAGAAAGAAAATTTCTTCTTATATTTTTAAAAATCTCTTAAACCTGAGTTTTGTTTTGTTTTGTTTTTTGGTACCGGGGATCTGACTTGGGACCTTGTGCTTGTGAGACAGGCAGCGGAACCACCGAGCTAATATCCCTGGCCCCTAAGCCTGAGTTTTTAAGAGAAAAACTGCAAAAGAATCAAGAATTGCGGACCCTGATACATAGAAAACCTTAGTGTATCATTAAGTGTAAAAATCAGTTTGAGAAAAAAATGCTGGGATAATGATTAAACATTTGGGCAAACTGTGTTCGTCATCTTAATGAAACTCAGCTTCCCGACACATTGAAACTGAAATATATTAGTCATGATCTTCTTTGAAACACACACATGATTATTCATGAACATACAAAGAAAATTCCTGATCTGGGCTGGGGATTTAGTTCAGAGGTGCCGCCGCCTGCCTCACCAAGTGCAAGGTCCCAAGTTCCATCCTCTGTGCCAAAAAAAAAGAAAAGAAAAGAAAATTCCTGATCTTTGGAATAAAAGAGTAGTTTCTGAGCTTAAATTTGAGAGAGAGAGAAAATGCGTATATGTGTGCTTGCTTTGTGTTTTATATAAATACAGAGATTATATATACCATTTTAAGCAAGATCCAAAATTAAATTACAAAACTTAGAAGAGAATTGAAACAGATAAAGGCTATTGTCTTGGCTATAAAAAGAACTCCCTGCAGTGGAGAGGAATGAAAAAAAAAAATCCAGTAAAATAAGGACAAAAGTTACAAAAAGACCATTCAGAGACATTTTAAAAATCAAATATTACGTAAATATATTCAGTAATTCTTATTAGATATCCTTCATATATTTGTCCTTTTAAATAATATTAAAGATTTTCAAGTTAGAGAACAAATTGTTTTAAAGTAAAAGCTGAGATTCCAGATTAATTTTTATTACCCCTAATATAATACATTAAATTTTTCTCTTTTAGCACTTCAAAATCCAGAGGTGGTAGCCCTTAGAGGTGGACTAAATACCATCTTGAAAAATGTGATTGATTGCCAGTTAAGTCGAATAAATGAGGCCCTCATTACTACAATTCTACACCTCCTTAATCATCCAAAGACCCGGCAGTATGTGCGAGCTGATGTAGAATTAGAGGTAGGAACTTCAGTATTCTTTTCTAAGTTATAAAATATGATTTAAAATGCATACTCTTTGAAATTTTGAAGTAGATTCTTAGCCTTATAACTTACTCAGTTTGGAATAAATTGAAAATATCATTCTCAATATTTCATCAACATGCAAAGTAAAGTTTTCATTTATCCATGAAAAGTTTACTGAGCAAATTGGATGATTAGTAAGGTTACATTTACCTGTGTGGTGAAGAACATCATTTGTTTTTAAGAACATCAGTGTGTTAATAAGTTTTGCAAGTATCTCCTGGTAATATATACTATTTAGTCATTAAACCGTATTAAAATTTTCTAAATTTGAAACCACTTTGTTAGCACGCATCATATATACTTGAAAGTATATACTTTTTTTTTTTTTTTTTTTTTGGTACCAGGGATCAAACTCGGGTCCTTGCGCTTGCGC